GTACCAGATGGCCCAGCCACACAGGGAATCACAAGGGAGAGGGCCATGAGACACTGAAAGAAGTTCAGGAAAGTGGCAGTGGGCTGTGGTAGCATGATGGCCACAGGACCTTCCTGAGGAGGTCAAGGCTGCAGGAGGGACTCTGTGTCCTCAGGAGTGATCCATATCACAGGAATGGTGGTCCCTGCCTTGGGATGGCCTCTGACACCTCACATGGACTTGCCACAGACCCAGAGGGGCAAATGCCTTAGGCTGATTAACACTGTTCAGAGTCATCCAAATCAACCAGCAGACATTATACATGGCTCCCTCTCCAAATCCTGCCCTGCAGAGAATCACTTTAAGGGCCCTCCACAAGGCTGGTGGAGAGCAGTGCTCTTCTCAATCCTGTCAAGTCTCTCCAGGGCTTCATTTTTCTTTCCTTATTTCTTTTTTTTTAATCCAAGGTTGCAAGTGCTTAGAGACTGGAGACTCCACTTGCCAACATGCCAGAGTGGCCTTGGGATGTAACAGATGCAGACTCCATCCCTCCTTCCCTCATCCTCTCATGTACATATCTTTTTGCCCCCACTTCCCTTCTGTGTGACCTTGACCTTGAGAAAGTTCCTTTCCCTCTCATCTATAAATAGGGAAATAACACTCCCTACTTTACAAGATTGTGGTCAAATTTAAATGAATTTGTGTATCTAAAGCCCTTAGCACAGTAACTGATCTGCAAATTGTTCAATAAATATTAACAGCTATTACCCTTTTTGTTATTTTTATTAATGTTGCTGTTTTAGCTATTTTCCCAGGATGGCCCCCAACCTTCTTGAAGGCAGGGATTTTATTTTGTCCTTTTCTGTCCCTTATCCACAGTGACCAGCACAGTGTCTTATTCACATTCAATAAAAGCTTGTATCAAAAAATAAAGAAGGAGGAGGAGAAAGCAAGGAGGGAAGGAAGAAAGGAAAGGAAAAATAATGAGAAGAGAGAGGATGGGCAATGAAATCATCTCACAGGTCCAATTAGGGTAGCTGTGGGGAGAGAAAACCCATATTGATCCACTGAAGTAAAAAACAATCAACAAAATTAATAGACAGGACAAAGTCACCTATGAAACTGTTAAGGTAGCCCCCCGCCCACAGACAAAATGGATTGCCCATGGCTAACTGAGGTGCTCACAGTTAAAACAGAACCAAGTGGCCATAGCAGGGTCAGAGAGTTATCAGGTACTCTGTGTTCTCAGAAAAATGTGTACAAGTGTCACAGGAACTCCCCTTCTACAATCAAGCCAGACCAGTTCCAGTTGTCACTGCTGCCGGAAACCCCCTTCACCAGCCCTTTGAGAGAAACAGATGACAGAGACTTCTGGTTTGGGCCTTGGAAACCACCAATCAGGGCTCAACTATTTTGATCAATCAGAACTGAACAAGTTTGAATTCTTCATTTGCATAAATGGACCTAATTGAGAACTAGGATGAGTACTTTCCCTATTTAAGAGGACCCTTCCTTTATTCTTCAGAGAGCACACTCTCACTTTTACTGAAATGCTTTTTTATCAGATTTTCTTTTAGAAAATAAAGCTCTCCCTTTTCCTCTGCAGATCTCATGGTCTTTTGTTAATAAAATTGAAGCACACTAGAGCTGGAAAAGTTCAGCTGAGTTCTGCCACTCACCAACTGTGCAACCTTAGCTGAGTGCCTCATCTTCTTTAATTCTCAGTTTCCGTATCTCTAAATAAAGGAGGCTTAGTGGCATGATTTCTAAGGTTCTTCTTGTAACAGCATAAACGTCTACGCTTTAATGTTAATGTAGCCTTCATGAAGTGGGTCATTAGCCTCTCAGAGATTCCAGTGGAGAGCAGACGCTCAGTATGAGCATGTATCAAGGATGTGCAGGATAGGAAATCTGATGGTTATTATGAGGAGCATGTCTTACCTCTTACCACATGTAAGACACACAGAATCAAAGTCAAGTTAACCCAACTCTAGAAGAATAGCAAACTGACCACTGACCATGTCCCAGGCACTGGGCAAGATGTGTTCACATGTATGCTTCCGATCACTGGTTTGAAAAAGTCCCCATATGGGAAAGAGGAGGGGAGCAGAACTCAGACAATGTTTCAAAGCCAGTAACTCAAGTAGGATAGAAAGAGAAACTCAGAAACACAAACTCAAACATTTTTGACACCTTGGAGATATAAATGAGAAGGGAGAGGCTGCTACAGGTAAACCTATCATGGGATCATATGACAATATAATTGGCTTCACTATGAGGGGGGCTGTTCATGGGGATGAGTAAGCTGAATTGTGGAGCTACAACACTTGGTAAAAATAGCTTATTGATAAGCTTTGATGACTAGAGCCAATAATTAAAAAGAAGAGGTTGATTGCTGCAGCAATATTTTCTTTCAAGAGGAATCCAATTATAATTCAATTCTAGCCTTCATATTTGATTTTAACATTTTCTCACCTCCCCTAGTCCCTGCCAGGAACAAAAGGCACCCTCTAAATTACACGTGCATCCACTCTCTCTGGCTTTTATTTGCCAGTCTTGGTCTCCCATTCTTTTCCTTAAAACAATGTTCTAAGACATATTTAGTACAGGCATACCTCAGAGATATTGTAGGTTCAGTTTCAGACCACTGCAAGAAAGTGACTATTACAATAAAGTGAGTCACACAAAATTTTTGGTTTCCCAATGCATATAAAAGTTATGTTTAATATATGGGTGATGGGGCAGTACAAAGGCAATTTATGTAACTAATGCATTTGTGCCCCTGTAATACTCTGAAATTTAAAAAAAATAAAAATAAAAAAGACAAATGCATATACACAAGTATATGCACACAAATATAAAAAATATATGTCATTAGCAATGTTGTGTGGGGTTTACAAGAATCATTATTTTAAGTAAACGTTAGAAGTAAAAATGATCAGTATAATTTGACATTCCTGTATTCTGCATATAGGAAAACTTAATAAACATTGTTGGATGACTTAAAAAAAATCTGGGTGATAGACACTCTTATAACTATGACTTATAAAAGTGACTCATGTAACCAAATTATTTGTACTCCATAATACTTTGAAATAAAGTAAAATAAAATAAAATTTTGATATAAAAAGGAATAGTCTAAGTGTGAAATAGCATTATGTCTTAAAATACACACACACACCTTAATTTAAAAAATCTATATTGCTAAAAGCACTAATGCTCATCTGAGACTTCAGTGAGTCATAATCTTCTTGCTAGTGGAGGGTCTTGCCTCAATACTGATGGCTGCTGACTGATCAGGGTGGTGGTTGCTGAATGTTGGGGTGACTGTGGCAATTTCTTAAAATAAAACAACAATGAAGTTTGCCATATCAATTGACTTTCTTTCCTGAAAGATCTCTCTACCATGCGATATTGTATGATACCATTTTACACACAGTAGAATTTCTTCCGAAATTAGACACAATCCTTTCAAACACTGCCTCTGTTTTATCAACTAAGGTTATGGAATATTCTACATCCTCTGTTGTCATCTCAACAATGTTCATAGCACCTTCACCAGGAATAGATTCCATCTCAAGAAACTACTTTATTTGCTCATCCATGAGAAGCAACTCCTCATCTATTCAAGTTTTATCATGAGATGGCAGCAATTCAGTCCTATCTTCAGGTTTCACTTCTAATTCTCATGCTTGTGCTATTTGTACCTCATCTTCAGTGTACTTCCTCCACTGAGGTCTTGAACCCCTCAAAGTCATTCATGAGAATTAGAATCCACTTCTTCCACATTCCTGTAAATGTTGACATTTTGATGTCCTTCCATCAATCATAAATGTTCTTAATGACATCTAGAATGGTAATCCTTTTCAGAAGGTTTTCAGTTTACTTTGCCCAGATCCATCTGAGGAATGGCTGCTTATGGCAACTATAGCCTTCTGAAATGTATTTCTTAAATAATAAGACTTAAAAGTCAAAATTACTCCTTGATTCATGGCCTATAAAGTAAATATTTTGCTGGTGGGCATGACAATAACAATCTCCTTGTGTATTTCCATCAAAGCTCTTAGGTGATTAGATGCATTGTCTATTTGTGGTAATATTTTGAAAGGAATCTTTTTTCTAAGCAGTAGGTCTCAGCAATGGGCTCAAAATATCCAGTAAATCATGCTGTAGACAGATGTGCTGTCATCCAGGCTTGATTGTTCCATGTATAAAGCACAGGTAGAGTAGATTTAACATAACTCTTAAGGGCCCTAGGATTTTCAGAATTATGAATGAGCATTGGTTTCAACTTAAAGTCACCAACTACATTAGCCTCTAACAAGAGAGTCAACATGCCCTCTGAAGCTTTGAAGGCAGGAATTGACTTCTCTCTAGCTGGGAAAGTCCTAGATGGCATCTTCTTCCAATAAAAACCTGTTTCATCTACATTGAAAATCTGTTGCTTAGTGTAGCCACCCTCATCAGATACATTAGGTAGATCTTCTGGATAACTTGCTGTAGCATCTCCATTAGTACTTGCTGCTTACCTTGCACTTTTATGTTATAAAGTAGGTTGCTTTCCTTATACGTCATAAACCAACCTCTGTTGGCTTCCAACTTTTCTTCTGCAGCTTCCTCACCTCTCTCAGCCTTCACAGAATTGAACAGTTAGAGCCTTGCTCTGGATTAGGCTTTGGCTTAAGGCAATGTTATGACTGGTTTGATCTTCTATCCAGACCACCACAACTTTCTTCATATTACCAATTAGGCTGTTTTGCTTTCTTATCATTTGTGTGTTCACTGGAGTAGCACTTTTAATTTTCTTCACGAACTCTTCCTCTGCATTCACAATTGGATTAACTATTTGGCAGAAGAGGCTTAAATTTCAGCCTGTCTTGGCTTTTGACTTTCTCACTAAGCTTAACCATTTCTATCTTGTGATTTAAAGTGAGAGGTGTTTAACTCTTCCTTTCACTTGAACACATAGAGGCACTTGTAGAGTTATTAATTGACCTAATTTCAATATTGCTGTGTTTCAGGAAATAGAAGAGTGGAAGAGAAAGGGGAATGACCAGACAGCTGAACAGCCAGAACACACATTTATGGATGGTTTGCCATCTTACGTGGGCACAGCTTGTGGTGCCCCAAAATAGTTATTATAATAATATCAAAGATCACTGATCACAGACCACCATAATAGATGTAATAATGATGAAAAAAATTTAAATATTGCAAGACTTACCAAAATGTGACACAGAGACATGAAGTGAGCACATGTTGTTGGAAAAATGGTGCCAGTGGACTTGCTCAACACAAGGTTGCCAAAAACCTTCAATTCACTAAAAAAAAAAAATGCAATATCTGCTAAGCACAATAAAATGAAGTATGTCTGTATTCCTCAGTTTCTTCCCAGCCCCTTCAAACTGAAGATTGAATTGAACAGTCTGCCAGAGGCCACCTTGAAATTGCCTGAGCGTACCACATCCTGTAGCCCAGCCCAAGCTCTTAGGAAATTCTTCATCAGCTGAAGCTCTGGGCCCCAAGCCCCTACCAGGTGGGAGAGCTCTTCACAAATTCTCCTTATGGATATCATCATCCAGTTCGGGAGTATGAGCATCACTCAGTGGTGAATGAACTAGGCCAGCAAATCTCCCCTACTTTTACAGGACCCAACCACCTCGATAGCAGGAGCGAAGGGGACAGGCTTTTCAGTAATCACTCAGGGAAGGGTAACTCACTCTGGGAGGAGAGAGACATGCTTTGAGACCACTGCCCTTTCAATTTGTTGCATGCACTCTTTGGTCATGTTCTTCCCTCCTCCTTTCTGGAACATTATAGTTTTCTACCTTCACCTCACTTTTACCTCTTATTTATCCATTAGACCCCAGCCTAAGCATTCTCTTGGGTAACATTCCCTGACCACCCAGTCTGGAACAAACTGGTTTCCACCGTACCAAATTTTGTTATGTCATAAAACTCATCTCAGTTTACAAATATCTATTCATTTATGTAAATATTTGATACCCATCTCCCCTATTATACTGTAAGCTCCATATGAACAAGGAACTATCTCTTCTTGCCCAACATCTTATACAGTGCCAGGTGCACACACACTCAATAATTATTTGTTGAATGAATGAATGAACTCAGAGAGACAAAGAAGAAGGTGCCTAGATTACTCCAAAACTGCACAGAGTCGAGAGATATTCAGAGGTCCGCTATACCACCATCCTAGCCCCAGGATGTTGAGGCTGAAGTGATGCTGTGGTTACTTGGTGCATCTTCAGTGGAGGCAGGATGCCCTCACAGCACATCAGTGACTACTATCTGGATGCTTCCCATTCACTCAATCCTGAGAGATGCATGTTGAAACATTTATAACTTAATATCCAAAGGGCTGGGTAATCCTTAGAAGAACTGTCTAAACATGAATAAAAATCCATTTTAAAATGCTAAAAAACCAAGTAACCTTGGCCGTATGACATAATATGCCTACAACTCCTTAGAGAACATCATCAAAGTTGACTATTAATGTGGAACAAAAGACTCCAACAATGCCAGCACTGCACATTCTGATTTTTCCCAGACATCCACCAAAGGAACAAGATCCCTATGAATACTAAAACTTCCTAAAGTGTTTTCATATTGGTATTAAGAACAGATGAAGTGCTATGCCAGAAGAAACACTTGATTCTCAGAACACTTGAGATGATGGCTGGATTGTGTGATGTATCAATAGTGCAGCAAGCCACAAAAGAGAGAAAACTAGTCATTACCAGAGAATGGAAATAGTACTAATACACAAATACACATGGAATCATCTGTATAGAACCTGAAGAGTACTTAACATTCACCATTTAGCCATTCCTATCCAGCCACTGTGTTTAGCAGGGTAGCACAATACACTGGCATTTTTGTGATCAACAGTTACTTGGCTGTCCTGCTCTGATGGAAACTTTGAAAAGATATTTTAGAAATGAAATACATAATATGACGAAAGAACACCAATTTTGGAATTATAGCGAAAAGGTCTTGAATTTCAGGTCTGCTATTTACAAGTTGTGTACTATTAGGCCTCCACTTCCTCATCCATAAAACAGAAATGATATTACTTGCTTCATAGGGTTAAAGCAGTAGTTCATTAACTATGGTCCTTGGGCCAAATCTGACTCATCACTTATTTTAGTAAATAAAGTTTTACTGGAACACAGCTATGTACATTCATTTACATGTTGTCTATGATTGTGTTCATGATACGATAGCAGAGCAGTTATAACAGAGACCATATGATCCACAAGCCTAACATGCTATCTGGCCTTTTGCAGAAAAGGTTTGCCATCCCTTGCTACGGACTGTGCGTGTGCTATTCCCTGGCTGAGACACATTTCCTTATTTCTCTTCACCTAGCCAACATCTTCTCATCTTTCAAAGTCATTTATTTAGAGTGACTTTCTCTTACCTCCTAGATAAAGCTAAATCTCTTGCTCTATGCTCTCATACACCACTTTGGATAAGAATCATTCCATTTGTAAATACTTGTTCACTGTCTGCCCTCCTAACTAAACTCTTAACTCCATCAGAGTCGAGATGATGTCTGCATCCTATATTACTCATAAGATTCCAGTAAGTATTTTAGTTGGTTTCTACACAATCCTAGCCCTCCATACTACTGTTCTATCTTGGGCAGATATTCCTGGCAGTGATCAAAGTTTTATCTAGTATAGAAAATCCCAGTTCAAGTGAAAGTTATTAGAATAAATATTCTAATAGGGAATTCTTCAAATTCCCTATTGCAGTTAACAATGGTGGGATTATTGGCAATAAACCAACATTGTCACAATGGGTTTGCTTAAAGGGCTCTTCCTAGAACCCAATGAATTTTATCAACCAACATTTATCAAACACCTGCTGTGTGAAGACATTTAGGTACTATGTAGGATACAAAGAAAGATAATCTATTCGAGCCCTGTCTTATCTGAGGGCTACTTTCTGAATTCAACTCATAAGCCTAAAATTTTATATTGGAATTGCCTTTAGAGGCATAATTCTAGAGATTAGCAAACTATCTCCCAAGAAGTCCAACATCATCATATTTCTTCTAATTTAAGAACAGATTAATATGTCCTTTTTCAAGCACCAGATGAAGAAGCTAGCTTGCTTGTAAGGGTCACTACAGGTGAAAATATATTAATTTTTAATGCCATAAACATGCTACATTTATATCACAGCTGTAGCCCATCCCCGAATTGCAGACAACACAGAATTTTAGTCATAGATTCATTTTGGCTAAAAATACACATAGTATATTAGGTCTATAGAAATGGAATTGAGGCCAAGTGCAGTGCCGCTCATCCTGATCTAGCACTCTGTGGGAGGCCGAAGACAAGGAGTGATGCTGTCGAGCAAGAATTGTGACAACAGGCCTCAGCTAAGAGTGTGAGTCCCGCCCATCTCTACAAAAACTAGGAAATTATTCTGTGGCTATGGTGGCGTCACCGGCCCTGTATCTCAGCCACTCAGTAGGCTGAGCAGGAGGATCACTTGAAGAGTTTGAGCTCACAGTGGAGCTAATATGAGCCACTGCCACTTCCAGCCTGGGTGGGGGACAGCACCGGCGCCGTTTTTTTTTTTGAGACCATCTCGTGGGGTTTGGCTTTAAAAAAGAAGGAAGGGAGAGGAAGGGAAGGAAGGGAGGAAGGGAAGGAAGAGAGAGAAGGGAGGGGAGGAAGAGACGCGAGGAGAGGGAGGGAGAGGAAGGGAAGGGAAGGAAGAAGGAAGGAAAAGGGAAGAAAGAGGAAGAGGAGGAAGGAAAAAAGAAAGAAAGAAAGAAGAAAGAAGAAGAAAGACGGAAGAAAGGAAAGAAGAAAGAGGAGAATAAGAAAAAAGAAAGAAAAGAAAGGGAATGAATACTTAGCTGTGGAGACTATGTTATCAATCATTTGCAAGGTGTTTTCATGTCTTAATGCTAACAGCAGGCATATGTCATAGGCATGCTTGGCCTAAAAGCAGAGCCTGAGGCAAGGATTTGGATGCATAGTTCATTTGGGATGTGACCCCAGGATGCACTGTAAGGAAGTGGAGAGCAAGACAGAAAATAGAGGCAAACCAGTAAGAGCACACCCAGGAGCAGGTTACCACTGTGGGCAACTGGGGCTCCATCTCACTGGCTGCCCCCAAGAGACTGCTCACAGCACTCACAGGATTGTCCCACTTAGGGGAGCGGAGGCAGCCCCAACTCCTGCCCCACATTTGTTGAGGTAGCTTGTATGGCATTAAATCCTTGGTACTCTCAGGCTTCCAGCTGGCCACACACACACACACACACACTTAGCACCCTCCAAGGCCAGAGAACATCTTCAGGAAGAAATACACAGGAAGTTGTTGGGGTGCAGGCAACCTCCAGAGTAGGATGAGGGGAGCTGGAAGGATACCCACAGTGTCTGCTGTTCCCTGCTAAGAATTCTCTGAGCTTCATTAATCCCCACAACAACTCTATTGTTGTTTATGTTGTTGCTATCTCTGTTTCACAAAGGAGGCTCAGAGAAGTTGAGTAACTTACCCAAAGCAACACAGCAGATATAGGTTAGCCTAATTCTAACTTCTGTACTAAACTACATCTGAAGTCCAGGAGAATGAATGATTTTCCTGGAACCCCCCAGTCCCCACCCACGCCACAATCAGAAACAAAAAGGGTCACTACCTCTGGCTTGTCACCACATTGTGTTTTTGGTCCTCTCTCATTGAGCTCCATGCTTTGCAAATGCAAAGTCTAGTGAACAGCTGAGCCAAAAACACGTACATGTTTTTTGACTCAGCAAAGCAGATGATATTCACCGTAAGTCAAAACACATGTCATCTGTACTATACATTAAGAATCGAGGATGCTCTTTCTACCCCCAGCTGTGTGGAACAACCCAGAAGGAATCTCCTCAGCAGAATCAAAATGTGCTTTGGACACATAGAAGAGAAGGGGCAGGGAACACACAGACTCAGCCAAGTATAGATCCATCAAGGGCTTTGCTTTTCCTGGAATCCTACTTATGAGCTGTAGCACTGGCTCAACCCCATGGACCTGCAACCAAAACAGAATTTCTGAGCAGCAGTGAATGTTTCCTAAGAC